ATCTGCTTTCCCATGCAGTATCTGCTTTCCCATGCAGTATCTGCTTTCCCATGCAGTATCTGCTTTCCGATGCAGTATCTGCTTTCCCATGCAGTATCTGCTTTCCGATGCAGTATCTGCTTTCCCATGCAGTATCTGCTTTCCCATGCAGTATCTGCTTTCCCATGCAGTATCTGCTTTCCCATGCAGTATCTGCTTTCCCATGCAGTATCTGCTTTCCCATGCAGTATCTGCTTTCCCATGCAGTATCTGCTTTCCGATGCAGTATCTGCTTTCCCATGCAGTATCTGCTTTCCCATGCAGTATCTGCTTTCCCATGCAGTATCTGCTTTCCCATGCAGTATCTGCTTTCCCATGCAGTATCTGCTTTCCCATGCAGTATCTGCTTTCCTGCTTTCCCATGCAGTATCTGCTTTCCCATGCAGTATCTGCTTTCCCATGCAGTATCTGCTTTCCCATGCAGTATCTGCTTTCCCATGCAGTATCTGCTTTCCCATGCAGTATCTGCTTTCCCATGCAGTATCTGCTTTCCCATGCAGTATCTGCTTTCCCATGCAGTATCTGCTTTCCCATGCAGTATCTGCTTTCCCATGCAGTATCTGCTTTCCCATGCAGTATCTGCTTTCCCATGCAGTATCTGCTTTCCCATGCAGTATCTGCTTTCCCATGCAGTATCTGCTTTCCCATGCAGTATCTGCTTTCCCATGCAGTATCTGCTTTCCCATGCAGTATCTGCTTTCCCATGCAGTATCTGCTTTCCCATGCAGTATCTGCTTTCCCATGCAGTATCTGCTTTCCCATGCAGTATCTGCTTTCCCATGCAGTATCTGCTTTCCCATGCAGTATCTGCTTTCCCATGCAGTATCTGCTTTCCCATGCAGTATCTGCTTTCCCATGCAGTATCTGCTTTCCCATGCAGTATCTGCTTTCCCATGCAGTATCTGCTTTCCCATGCAGTATCTGCTTTCCCATGCAGTATCTGCTTTCCCATGCAGTATCTGCTTTCCGATGCAGTATCTGCTTTCCCATGCAGTATCTGCTTTCCCATGCAGTATCTGCTTTCCCATGCAGTATCTGCTTTCCCATGCAGTATCTGCTTTCCCATGCAGTATCTGCTTTCCCATGCAGTATCTGCTTTCCCATGCAGTATCTGCTTTCCCATGCAGTATCTGCTTTCCCATGCAGTATCTGCTTTCCCATGCAGTATCTGCTTTCCCATGCAGTATCTGCTTTCCCATGCAGTATCTGCTTTCCCATGCAGTATCTGCTTTCCCATGCAGTATCTGCTTTCCCATGCAGTATCTGCTTTCCCATGCAGTATCTGCTTTCCCATGCAGTATCTGCTTTCCCATGCAGTATCTGCTTTCCCATGCAGTATCTGCTTTCCCATGCAGTATCTGCTTTCCCATGCAGTATCTGCTTTCCCATGCAGTATCTGCTTTCCCATGCAGTATCTGCTTTCCCATGCAGTATCTGCTTTCCCATGCAGTATCTGCTTTCCCATGCAGTATCTGCTTTCCCATGCAGTATCTGCTTTCCCATGCAGTATCTGCTTTCCCATGCAGTATCTGCTTTCCCATGCAGTATCTGCTTTCCGATGCAGTATCTGCTTTCCCATGCAGTATCTGCTTTCCCATGCAGTATCTGCTTTCCGATGCAGTATCTGCTTTCCCATGCAGTATCTGCTTTCCCATGCAGTATCTGCTTTCCCATGCAGTATCTGCTTTCCCATGCAGTATCTGCTTTCCCATGCAGTATCTGCTTTCCGATGCAGTATCTGCTTTCCCATGCAGTATCTGCTTTCCCATGCAGTATCTGCTTTCCCATGCAGTATCTGCTTTCCGATGCAGTATCTGCTTTCCCATGCAGTGTCTGCTTTCCCATGCAGTATCTGCTTTCCCATGCAGTATCTGCTTTCCCATGCAGTATCTGCTTTCCCATGCAGTATCTGCTTTCCCATGCAGTATCTGCTTTCCGATGCAGTATCTGCTTTCCCATGCAGTATCTGCTTTCCCATGCAGTATCTGCTTTCCCATGCAGTATCTGCTTTCCCATGCAGTATTTGCTTTCCCATGCAGTATCTGCTTTCCCATGCAGTATCTGCTTTCCCATGCAGTATCTGCTTTCCCATGCAGTATCTGCTTTCCCATGCAGTATCTGCTTTCCCATGCAGTATCTGCTTTCCCATGCAGTATCTGCTTTCCCATGCAGTATCTGCTTTCCCATGCAGTATCTGCTTTCCCATGCAGTATCTGCTTTCCCATGCAGTATCTGCTTTCCCATGCAGTATCTGCTTTCCCATGCAGTATCTGCTTTCCCATGCAGTATCTGCTTTCCCATGCAGTATCTGCTTTCCCATGCAGTATCTGCTTTCCCATGCAGTATCTGCTTTCCCATGCAGTATCTGCTTTCCCATGCAGTATCTGCTTTCCCATGCAGTATCTGCTTTCCCATGCAGTATCTGCTTTCCCATGCAGTATCTGCTTTCCCATGCAGTATCTGCTTTCCCATGCAGTATCTGCTTTCCCATGCAGTATCTGCTTTCCCATGCAGTATCTGCTTTCCCATGCAGTATCTGCTTTCCCATGCAGTATCTGCTTTCCCATGCAGTATCTGCTTTCCCATGCAGTATCTGCTTTCCCATGCAGTATCTGCTTTCCCATGCAGTATCTGCTTTCCCATGCAGTATCTGCTTTCCCATGCAGTATCTGCTTTCCCATGCAGTATCTGCTTTCCCATGCAGTATCTGCTTTCCCATGCAGTATCTGCTTTCCCATGCAGTATCTGCTTTCCCATGCAGTATCTGCTTTCCCATGCAGTATCTGCTTTCCGATGCAGTATCTGCTTTCCGATGCAGTATCTGCTTTCCCATGCAGTATCTGCTTTCCCATGCAGTATCTGCTTTCCCATGCAGTATCTGCTTTCCCATGCAGTATCTGCTTTCCCATGCAGTATCTGCTTTCCCATGCAGTATCTGCTTTCCCATGCAGTATCTGCTTTCCCGATGCAGTATCTGCTTTCCCATGCAGTATCTGCTTTCCCATGCAGTATCTGCTTTCCCATGCAGTATCTGCTTTCCCATGCAGTATCTGCTTTCCCATGCAGTATCTGCTTTCCGATGCAGTATCTGCTTTCCCATGCAGTATCTGCTTTCCCATGCAGTATCTGCTTTCCCATGCAGTATCTGCTTTCCCATGCAGTATCTGCTTTCCCATGCAGTATCTGCTTTCCCATGCAGTATCTGCTTTCCCATGCAGTATCTGCTTTCCCATGCAGTATCTGCTTTCCGATGCAGTATCTGCTTTCCGATGCAGTATCTGCTTTCCCATGCAGTATCTGCTTTCCCATGCAGTATCTGCTTTCCCATGCAGTATCTGCTTTCCCATGCAGTATCTGCTTTCCCATGCAGTATCTGCTTTCCCATGCAGTATCTGCTTTCCCATGCAGTATCTGCTTTCCCATGCAGTATCTGCTTTCCCATGCAGTATCTGCTTTCCCATGCAGTATCTGCTTTCCCATGCAGTATCTGCTTTCCCATGCAGTATCTGCTTTCCCATGCAGTATCTGCTTTCCCATGCAGTATCTGCTTTCCCATGCAGTATCTGCTTTCCCATGCAGTATCTGCTTTCCCATGCAGTATCTGCTTTCCCATGCAGTATCTGCTTTCCCATGCAGTATCTGCTTTCCCATGCAGTATCTGCTTTCCCATGCAGTATCTGCTTTCCCATGCAGTATCTGCTTTCCCATGCAGTATCTGCTTTCCGATGCAGTATCTGCTTTCCCATGCAGTATCTGCTTTCCCATGCAGTATCTGCTTTCCCATGCAGTATCTGCTTTCCCATGCAGTATCTGCTTTCCCATGCAGTATCTGCTTTCCCATGCAGTATCTGCTTTCCCATGCAGTATCTGCTTTCCCATGCAGTATCTGCTTTCCCATGCAGTATCTGCTTTCCCATGCAGTATCTGCTTTCCCATGCAGTATCTGCTTTCCCATGCAGTATCTGCTTTCCCATGCAGTATCTGCTTTTCGATGCAGTATCTGCTTTCCCATGCAGTATCTGCTTTCCCATGCAGTATCTGCTTTCCCATGCAGTATCTGCTTTCCCATGCAGTATCTGCTTTCCCATGCAGTATCTGCTTTCCCATGCAGTATCTGCTTTCCCATGCAGTATCTGCTTTCCCATGCAGTATCTGCTTTCCCATGCAGTATCTGCTTTCCCATGCAGTATCTGCTTTCCCATGCAGTATCTGCTTTCCCATGCAGTATTTGCTTTCCCATGCAGTATCTGCTTTCCCATGCAGTATCTGCTTTCCCATGCAGTATCTGCTTTCCGATGCAGTATCTGCTTTCCCATGCAGTATCTGCTTTCCCATGCAGTATCTGCTTTCCGATGCAGTATCTGCTTTCCCATGCAGTATCTGCTTTCCCATGCAGTATCTGCTTTCCCATGCAGTATCTGCTTTCCCATGCAGTATCTGCTTTCCCATGCAGTATCTGCTTTCCCGATGCAGTATCTGCTTTCCCATGCAGTATCTGCTTTCCCATGCAGTATCTGCTTTCCCATGCAGTATCTGCTTTCCCATGCAGTATCTGCTTTCCCATGCAGTATCTGCTTTCCCATGCAGTATCTGCTTTCCCATGCAGTATCTGCTTTCCCATGCAGTATCTGCTTTCCCATGCAGTATCTGCTTTCCCATGCAGTATCTGCTTTCCCATGCAGTATCTGCTTTCCCATGCAGTATCTGCTTTCCCATGCAGTATCTGCTTTCCCATGCAGTATCTGCTTTCCCATGCAGTATCTGCTTTCCGATGCAGTATCTGCTTTCCGATGCAGTATCTGCTTTCCCATGCAGTATCTGCTTTCCCATGCAGTATCTGCTTTCCCATGCAGTATCTGCTTTCCCATGCAGTATCTGCTTTCCCATGCAGTATCTGCTTTCCCATGCAGTATCTGCTTTCCCATGCAGTATCTGCTTTCCCATGCAGTATCTGCTTTCCCATGCAGTATCTGCTTTACCATGCAGTATCTGCTTTCCCATGCAGTATCTGCTTTCCCATGCAGTATCTGCTTTCCCCCTCGCCTCGCGTCCCTCCATCCTTTCCCTTGTCACCCACACCCCCTTCACTGTCCCACTTCTTCCCTTCCCCTCCCCCATTCCCCCTTCCCCCGCACCCCTCCCCCCCGCCCATGCGTTCCCCAGGCGGTGGAGCAGTGGCTGGTGGGGCGCGCAGTGCTGCCGATAGAGAACAGCCTGGGCGGCTCCATCCACCGCAACTACGACCTGCTGCTAAGGCACCGTCTGCACATCGTGGGCGAGGTGCACCTCCCCGTGCACCACTGCCTGCTCGCGCTGCCCGGGTCCACGCCCGGCCAGCTCACGCGCGTGCTCTCACATCCCCAGGTGGGTGTGGGAGGAACTGGGGAGGACGGGGGGCGGAGGGGTGGAGTGAATGGCGAGCGTGAGGGGAGGGCGTGGCAGGAGGGTGAGGCGGGCTGTTGCTGCGCCGGCAGTGCAACGTGCTGTGCTCGGCCCGTCCACTCGGTTCACCTCTCTCACCTCCCCTCTCTTCCTCCTCCCGTCTCTCCCCACTTCCCTTCCCTCCACCTCTCTCCAACGGTCCGTGAACCTCCCTCCCTTCCTCCTCTCCCTCTCCCCTTCATCCTTTCCTGCACTGCGCCTCGCCACCCCCTTTCCCGCCCCTTCCACCGCTCTCACCTCCTCCTCCCCCGTGCGTACAGGCGTTGGCGCAGTGCGAGGCGACGCTGACGCGCCTGGGAGTGGTGCAGGAGGCCGTGTACGACACTGCGGGGGCCGCCCAGGTGGGTGCTGGGCTGCTGGGGAGGGGGGTTCATGGCCATGTGGGGTGCGCACTTGTGAGTGCTCTCAAAATTCAGGTGGTCTGAAAGTTCTTTGCAAGTGTGCTTCTGTCGTTGTCTCAGTGCTATATTGTGCTGAAATCGTTCCACGGCCATGCCTTGTGTTGCCCAATGCTGTGCTGCCACGTGGCAGATGGTGGCGAATCAGAAGATGGAGGATGTGGGAGCAGTGGCGAGCACACGGGCGGCGGAGATCTACGGGCTTGAGATCCTGGCGGAGGGCATTCAGGTGAGCCGCTAGAGGGGCTGCAGATGCTCTGCTCGCGTCTCTCACTCACGTCTCTTCTCCTCTCCTCCTTCCTTCCTTCTTCTCCGTCACTCGTTTCCGTGCACATCCCTTGCTTTCCGTCCCTTCCCTCCTCTCTTCCCCATTCCCCCTCCCCTCCCCGACCACCCCCTATCCCCCGTGTCAACCAGGACGAGGCGGACAACTTCACGCGCTTCCTGGCGCTGGCAAGGGATCCCGTGCTGCCGTCCACCGACCGCCCCTTCAAGGTGGGTGCTGCCCTCCACCGACCGCCCCTTCAAGGTGGGTGCTGCCGTCCACCGACCGCCCCTTCAAGGTGGGTGCTGCCGTCCACCGACCGCCCCTTCAAGGTGGGTGCTGCCGTCCACCGACCGCCCCTTCAAGGTGGGTGCTGCCCTCCACCGACCGCCCCTTGAAGGTGGGTGCTGCCCTCCACCGACCGCCCCTACAAGGTGGGTGCTGCCCTCCACCGACCGCCCCTTCAAGGTGCCGCTTTTCGGTTTCAACAGGCTATGCTTCACTACTGGCAACAGGCTATGCTTCACTACTGTCAACAGGCTATGCTTCACTACTGGCAACAGGCTATGCTTCACTACTGTCAACAGGCTATGCTTCACTACTGGCAACAGGCTATGCTTCACTACTGTCAACAGGCTATGCTTCACTACTGTCAACAGGCTATGCTTCACTACTGTCAACAGGCTATGCTTCACTACTGGCAACAGGCTATGCTTCACTACTGTCAACAGGCTATGCTTCACTACTGGCAACAGGCTATGCTTCACTACTGTCAACAGGCTATGCTTCACTACTGGCAACAGGCTATGCTTCACTACTGGCAACAGGCTATGCTTCACTACTGGCAACAGGCTATGCTTCACTACTGTCAACAGGCTATGCTTCACTACTGGCAACAGGCTATGCTTCACTACTGGCAACAGGCTATGCTTCACTACTGGCAACAGGCTATGCTTCACTACTGGCAACAGGCTATGCTTCACTACTGGCAACAGGCTATGCTTCACTACTGGCAACAGGCTATGCTTCACTACTGGCAACAGGCTATGCTTCACTACTGGCAAAAGGCTATGCTTCACTACTGTCAACAGGCTATGCTTCACTACTGGCAACAAGCTATGCTTCACTACTGGCAACAGGCTATGCTTCACTACTGGCAACAGGCTATGCCTCACTACTGGCAACAGGCTATGCTTCACTACTGGCAACAGGCTATGCTTCACTACTGGCAACAGGCTATGCTTCACTACTGGCAACAGGCTATGCATCACTACTGGCAACAGGCTATGCTTCACTACTGGCAACAGGCTATGCTTCACTACTGGCAACAGGCTATGCTTCACTACTGGCAACAGGCTATGCTTCACTACTGGCAACAGGCTATGCTTCACTACTGGCAACAGGCTATGCTTCACTACTGGCAACAGGCTATGCTTCACTACTGGCAACAGGCTATGCTTCACTACTGGCAACAAGCTATGCTTCACTACTGGCAACAGGCTATGCTTCACTACTGGCAACAGGCTATGCTTCACTACTGGCAACAGGCTATGCTTCACTACTGGCAACAGGCTATGCTTCACTACTGGCAACAGGCTATGCTTCACTACTGGCAACAGGCTATGCTTCACTACTGGCAACAGGCTATGCTTCACTACTGGCAACAGGCTATGCTTCACTACTGGCAACAGGCTATGCTTCACTACTGGCAACAGGCTATGCCTCACTACTGGCAACAGGCTATGCTTCACTACTGGCAACAGGCTATGCTTCACTACTGGCAACAGGCTATGCTTCACTACTGGCAACAGGCTATGCTTCACTCCTGGCAACAGGCTATGCTTCACTACTGGCAACAGGCTATGCTTCACTACTGGCAACAGGCTATGCTTCACTACTGGCAACAGGCTATGCCTCACTACTGGCAACAGGCTATGCTTCACTACTGGCAACAGGCTATGCTTCACTACTGGCAACAAGCTATGCTTCACTACTGGCAACAAGCTATGCTTCACTACTGGCAACAGGCTATGCTTCACTACTGGCAACAGGCTATGCTTCACTACTGGCAACAGGCTATGCTTCACTACTGGCAACAGGCTATGCTTCACTACTGGCAACAGGCTATGCTTCACTACTGGCAACAGGCTATGCTTCACTACTGGCAACAGGCTATGCTCACTACTGGCAACAGGCTATGCTTCACTACTGGCAACAGGCTATGCTTCACTACTGGAAACAGGCTATGCTTCACTACTGGAAACAGGCTATGCTTCACTACTGGCAACAGGCTATGCTTCACTACTGGCAACAGGCTATGCTTCACTACTGGCAACAGGCTATGCCTCACTACTGGCAACAGGCTATGCTTCACTACTGGCAACAGGCTATGCTTCACTACTGGCAACAGGCTATGCTTCACTACTGGCAACAGGCTATGCTTCACTACTGGCAACAGGCTATGCTTCACTACTGGCAACAGGCTATGCTTCACTACTGGCAACAGGCTATGCTTCACTACTGGCAACAGGCTATGCTTCACTACTGGCAACAGGCTATGCTTCACTACTGGCAACAGGCTATGCTTCACTACTGGCAACAGGCTATGCTTCACTACTGGCAACAGGCTATGCTTCACTACTGGCAACAGGCTATGCTTCACTACTGGCAACAGGCTATGCTTCACTACTGGCAACAGGCTATGCTTCACTACTGGCAACAGGCTATGCCTCACTACTGGCAACAGGCTATGCTTCACTACTGGCAACAGGCTATGCTTCACTACTGGCAACAGGCTATGCTTCACTACTGGCAACAGGCTATGCTTCACTACTGGCAACAGGCTATGCTTCACTACTGGCAACAGGCTATGCTTCACTACTGGCAACAGGCTATGCTTCACTACTGGCAACAGGCTATGCTTCACTACTGGCAACAGGCTATGCTTCACTACTGGCAACAGGCTATGCTTCACTACTGGCAACAGGCTATGCTTCACTACTGGCAACAGGCTATGCTTCACTACTGGCAACAGGCTATGCTTCACTACTGGCAACAGGCTATGCTTCACTAGTGGCAACAGGCTATGCTTCACTAGTGGCAACAGGCTATGCTTCACTACTGGCAACAGGCTATGCTTCACTACTGGCAACAGGCTATGCTTCACTACTGGCAACAGGCTATGCTTCACTACTGGCAACAGGCTATGCCTCACTACTGGCAACAGGCTATGCTTCACTACTGGCAACAGGCTATGCTTCACTAGTGGCAACAGGCTATGCTTCACTACTGGCAACAGGCTATGCTTCACTACTGGCAACAGGCTATGCTTCACTACTGGCAACAGGCTATGCTTCACTACTGGCAACAGGCTATGCTTCACTACTGGCAACAGGCTATGCTTCACTACTGGCAACAGGCTATGCTTCACTACTGGCAACAGGCTATGCTTCACTACTGGCAACAGGCTATGCTTCACTACTGGCAACAGGCTATGCTTCACTACTGGCAACAGGCTATGCTTCACTACTGGCAACAGGCTATGCTTCACTACTGGCAACAGGCTATGCTTCACTACTGGCAACAGGCTATGCTTCACTACTGGCAACAGGCTATGCTTCACTACTGGCAACAGGCTATGCTTCACTACTGGCAACAGGCTATGCTTCACTACTGGCAACAGGCTATGCTTCACTACTGGCAACAGGCTATGCTTCACTACTGGCAACAGGCTATGCTTCACTACTGGCAACAGGCTATGCTTCACTACTGGCAACAGGCTATGCTTCACTACTGGCAACAGGCTATGCTTCACTACTGGCAACAGGCTATGCTTCACTACTGGCAACAGGCTATGCTTCACTACTGGCAACAGGCTATGCTTCACTACTGGCAACAGGCTATGCTTCACTACTGGCAACAGGCTATGCTTCACTACTGGCAACAGGCTATGCTTCACTACTGGCAACAGGCTATGCTTCACTACTGGCAACAGGCTATGCTTCACTACTGGCAACAGGCTATGCTTCACTACTGGCAACAGGCTATGCTTCACTACTGGCAACAGGCTATGCTTCACTACTGGCAACAGGCTATGCTTCACTACTGGCAACAGGCTATGCTTCACTACTGGCAACAGGCTATGCTTCACTACTGGCAACAGGCTATGCTTCACTACTGGCAACAGGCTATGCTTCACTACTGGCAACAGGCTATGCTTCACTACTGGCAACAGGCTATGCTTCACTACTGGCAACAGGCTATGCTTCACTACTGGCAACAGGCTATGCTTCACTACTGGCAACAGGCTATGCTTCACTACTGGCAACAGGCTATGCTTCACTACTGGCAACAGGCTATGCTTCACTACTGGCAACAGGCTATGCTTCACTACTGGCAACAGGCTATGCTTCACTACTGGCAACAGGCTATGCTTCACTACTGGCAACAGGCTATGCTTCACTACTGGCAACAGGCTATGCTTCACTACTGGCAACAGGCTATGCTTCACTACTGGCAACAGGCTATGCTTCACTACTGGCAACAGGCTATGCTTCACTACTGGCAACAGGCTATGCTTCACTACTGGCAACAGGCTATGCTTCACTACTGGCAACAGGCTATGCTTCACTACTGGCAACAGGCTATGCTTCACTACTGGCAACAGGCTATGCTTCACTACTGGCAACAGGCTATGCTTCACTACTGGCAACAGGCTATGCTTCACTACTGGCAACAGGCTATGCTTCACTACTGGCAACAGGCTATGCTTCACTACTGGCAACAGGCTATGCTTCACTACTGGCAACAGGCTATGCTTCACTACTGGCAACAGGCTATGCTTCACTACTGGCAACAGGCTATGCTTCACTACTGGCAACAGGCTATGCTTCACTACTGGCAACAGGCTATGCTTCACTACTGGCAACAGGCTATGCTTCACTACTGGCAACAGGCTATGCTTCACTACTGGCAACAGGCTATGCTTCACTACTGGCAACAGGCTATGCTTCACTACTGGCAACAGGCTATGCTTCACTACTGGCAACAGGCTATGCTTCACTACTGGCAACAGGCTATGCTTCACTACTGGCAACAGGCTATGCTTCACTACTGGCAACAGGCTATGCTTCACTACTGGCAACAGGCTATGCTTCACTACTGGCAACAGGCTATGCTTCACTACTGGCAACAGGCTATGCTTCACTACTGGCAACAGGCTATGCTTCACTACTGGCAACAGGCTATGCTTCACTACTGGCAACAGGCTATGCTTCACTACTGGCAACAGGCTATGCTTCACTACTGGCAACAGGCTATGCTTCACTACTGGCAACAGGCTATGCTTCACTACTGGCAACAGGCTATGCTTCACTACTGGCAACAGGCTATGCTTCAC